TCAGGTGTACAATGTAGCAATTCCATATTTTTGTAGCTTTAATAATCTCTTCCAATAGGAGGATAAATTTTCCCAGTGAGGTTCATTTCTCCTTTGGCCTCTCCTTCGACGTCTTCACATGTTTGATAGAATTCAGAAAAGGCTGTATTATAAAATCCAGATGAAGCCACCTGGGTTTCAGGATATAATTTGAAACTTGGCTGCTTCGTGCAGGCAAAGGAGAAGAAATAAAGTCAACTGTAAGAACACGAAGCTTAAAAATGAAAAATGCTCAAACTTTATAATTGCATTCAGAAAGGGAAGTACGTGTTTTCCAAGAAAAACAACCTGCTGTGGATAAGAGTTTAGAGTGTGTTTCAGAAGTAATCTGAAATCATCTCAAATGTAATGGATGATAAGAATATACACAGTGTAAGCATGCTCTCTTCATTTGGCATGGAGAAGGTGTTTTAACCACCATTTAAGTGTTCAGGTACTGGAACCAGACAGCCGAGGTTTATATCCCAGCTGGGCTACTTATTGGCTGTGTGACCTTGAGCCAGTCTCTCAACCTCTCTGTGCTTCAGGTTCCCCATCTGTAAAATGAAGATAATGTTAGTGTCTGCCTCACAGGATTGTTGAAAAGACAAAGTGGGTTAATATAGTTACACAGCACATAAAATGGTGCCTGGTACATAGTTCATGCTCAGCAAATGTCATTATTATCATTGTTGCTTTAAAATGGTAGAGGAGCCCAGTCAGTGTGGCTCAGTGGATTGAGCATCGTCCCATGGACTGAAGGGTCACTCATCCAGGTTTCAGGCTTGATCCCTGGTACAGGGTGTGCAGGAGGCAGCCAATCCATGTTTCTCTCTCATTGATATTTCTCTCTCTCTCTCTTCCCTTCTTCCTTCCTCTCTATCTGAAAAAAAACAATAAACATATATTTTTAAAAAGCAAAGTGGTAGAAGAGAAAAGTGTCTGACCCTTTCAAGAGTTTGCAGAATGAAGGAAGCCACATTTCCAGCGGGACATGCCCCAAATACCTGCGGTGGAAACACAATGTACGAACTAGAACCTTCTGCACCTCCGTTTGGAGCTGCGCAAAGCCAGTGGGGAAAACGCACGGTCCGAGTGGAAGGCGATCATCAGATGATGAGATGTTTACCCCTCTGCACTGAGGAGTGGCCTGGAACAGTCAGTGTCAGGACCATCGCCTGCTTCTGTACACACAGTAAAACAAATGTTTGGGTAAGTAGAGTCTACACTAGTTAAATGCTAGGAATACTTAACTGGTTCTTTGAGGTTTGTAACTTCTTTCAGCCCCTGCTCTGCAGGTCGCTTGTAACATCTGACAGTAACCCACTGGACAGTTTTCTTCATTAATGCGTGTATATTGATCGATGGGTGATACATTTTGCCTTCTCTGCTTATTTCTGTCACTAATCTTTTCATGGTTTCCAATTTACTTAGCCCGTCAGCACACCACGTATAAATCTTAAATTTATAGAAGTACTCGCAACTGGCATTTAGCTAGATTAGTTTTGCTACAGCAAAAAAGTTGGGATTTATGGTTAGTATTAAAATAACTAACATTTTTGGGCACTTATTGTGGTAGGCCTGTTCTGCATTCTTTACATATAATTTAATCTTCCAAAGCAGCTATCTGCACTGTAACTGACACTAGCTGTCTGTGACAAATACATCCCCAGACTCAGTGGAGGGACACAATATTGGCTTGTACTTTATTCAAGAATGTCTGTGAGGGATGCCTCAGGTTTGGGGGTTCCTTCGATTATGGGGCTTCAGCACCTCTGCGTCTCTCGCTTCCCACCACATGGATCTGGAAGAGAGAAAGAATGTAAAGTGAGTATATCAGTTCCTCATCACCTCAGCCTAGAATGAACCCCATATAACTTCTGTCCATATCCCATTTGCCAGAGATCAGTCACATGGTCAACGGAACTGCAGGGGCAGGGGATATGTAGACATCAGCAAACACTGAAAAACACCTCTCATGGTTTACTTTTCGGGCCACCAAATATCTATCTCCTTCCCTGTTTCCAAACACAGAGCACACTCTTCCTCCCCAAAGGAAGCGTCAAATTCCATGCGGTCGTTACAAGCAGCTCCAAGTGCAGGACTTCTGAGCTATGTGACATGGGTGTTGTAATCTTGATCCGGTGACCTATGAACTGGAAGGAAAGAAGCTATGAAGCAAAGGACAAGTTCTCATTCTCTCTCTCTCTCTCTCTCGCACACACACACAATACAAGTGGTGTATGGTATAACAGTGATGAGATATCCACAATAAAAATGTTCCATCAGAAAATGGAAGGAAAAAACAGCAGCCATCGATACCACAAGCGGCCAGGTGGACACAGTCGAGGTGCGCTGCCTTGTGGGAGGAGGTTCTGGATGTCCCTGGCGCTGCGCTCTGGGAAGCTCCAATGTCCATTGTCCTGGCCACCAGTTCTTCCTTCTGAGGGGCTCCCCGTGCAACATCTGAGGTGCATGTTGAGGAGCCAGCCCTCCATGAAGCCAGTGATCCACTTCCTTCTAGAGGAAGAAGTTATTTTCAGTCCTGAAAGACATTTCTAGTACAGTCTTATAGTTATTTTAGCCATGTAAGTCCTGCCTAACATGACAGGCTCCTGCAAGCGATCAAATGTATGAGCTGTCTCTCTATCCCCTCTCACTTCCGTTTGTAATTTAGATATTCCTTTTCTAGGCTCATCTCATTCTTGAACGACCTTGCCAGATGCTGTCGACAAGAACCAGGGCACAGGGCTGCTCCTTCCTCGTCCTCCTCTCCTTACCCACAAGGTTACTTGGCGCGTGTGGCCTTCCACACTGTCACAGATGTCAGGTTCACCAAATGTTTCGCCTTCGCAAAGCATGACATGTTACCTCTCCAGCCTCTGGTGTCAGTCTCCTCACCACTAACCTCCTATGAGGCCAACGGCATGGAGCTGAAGATTGTGCTGGAGCAGAATCCCATGTCCGGGACCGGGCGCTAACACGGTGTTCATCACAGTGACTCATACTACGTCCTGCGAAGTACCAGACACGCAATGAGGTGTTTAATAATATTTATTGACTAACGCAGTATTGTGTATCTATATATAAAAAGGTATTTAGACATATTTGCATTAAATCTTTCACTACTAAGCAAACCAAGGCTTATAGAAGTGAAATAACACATTGGAGGTCACACACTGGAGTGTGGCGGATTCGTGCCTAAGATGCTACATGAGCTGGTGTCTCCAGACATCTCCCCCATTGAAGCCAGAGCAAAAATAGAGTAATTTTTGTCTTTGCTTTCATAGCACATTAAGTCTGAAGCCTGCCCTGTCCCATTGGTCTGAGATTCTTTCTCTCTTTGCACTATTTCATTCAGAGACGTTCTCCTCCATCCACAGAAGGGTAGTTAGTTTGGGTGACTCAAAAAACACCGTGGGAAATGATCTATAGCTTTCTAATGAATGAATGAGATTTTTGTGCTGTAACTTGTTTGCATGAATTTGCACAGTGAGCATACTTAATAGATTGTGCCTGTGTCGACATTTCTTTTCTCCACCAAATGGTTTTATTTCTTTAATGAATGATTCTTATAGTAATTTGGGGGATCACATTATATTATAACCATTCATTAAATCTAGCAAGGGCATACACTGTCTGGCCTTTGCTCTCTACAGAAACTTTGACATATTAACCTTGCCTAGTGGGAACATATCTGCAAACCAAAAAGGGGGTGGGGAGACATCTGTAAGACTCTCAACAATAAAGATAATTTTAAAAAGAAAAAAAAAAGGTCGTCTAAACTGTTGATTGGTGTGAATCTATGCAATATTTTATTCATTCTGCAAGTATCTATTGAGCGCTTATTATCTATCATGTACTGAACAATACCTGCTTTAAGCCATAGAAAGACAAATACCATATGATTTCACTTACATGAAAACCCAAAGAACCGAATAAACAAAGTAGAAACAGACTCATAGACACAGAGAACAGACTAAGTTTGACAGAGGGGAGGTCGGTCTGGGGGCTGGGTGAAAAGGTGAAGGAATTAATCAGTACAAATGTGTAGTTACAGAACAGTCACAGGATATAAAGTACCGCACAGGGAATACAGTCAATAAGATCGTAATGACTACAAACAGGGCCAGGTGGGTATTTGGAATGTGGGGGGATCGCACTGTAGAGTGTGTGATTGTTTGGCCGCCGTAATGTACATCCGAGACTGATGTCGAATTGAACGTAGACTGTAATTGGAAATATTATTTAAAGATATGCTATAAACAGTTTTTAAATCACCATTTTCAGTTGATCACACTTTAAGTTGGCTGTAATTTGAATTCACGTGTGTGTGTGTGAGAGAGAGGAGATTAATGGCAGTTGGGGAAGTGTGATAGACACAGTAAAACAGGTAACCTCGGTTACAGACTAAATGTCAGAAAGCTCACTCAGCTACAGGCACAGACTGCAAAGCATGCAGCCCTCCTGGAGGTGCTGACTAGCAAATGGGATGAAGGTTAAAATAAGACCAACGCAAATAACATCATTTTCAGTATTTTCCCCTTTGATAAAAATATAATGTATACTAATTTTGAATTTTCCAACAGATAGGGAAGAGGTGCATGGAAATCATTGTGATGACCAAGTGCCATTTAAATACAATCTCACTACCGTCACTGTCCCCTAAGTCGGGACATAAATGTGCCCATGTACTTTTTGCTTCCAGCGAAGTGGTGCCTTTCAGGCTCAAGGCATCCGTTGAAAAGGCAAAAGCCACTTGAAGTGACACAGTGAGAAGATCCATGGATAAAAGAAGGAAACAGAAGTATTTCGATACCTGAAACCTTTGCTTCTCATTTGCCTCCGTCCTGGTGCGCAGCGGAACGTCACCCGCTCCTACTCATTTCTAACGAGAGTATATATTGAGCTCTTTGAAATGTGAGTATTATGGGGAGGATCGCAGTTGCTTTAAATTACAGGAGTTGGCAAGTGCCTGGGAGGAGCAGGAGGTTGTTTAAACTGGGAAAGACAGTTGCAAAACCTCCTACAACAGCATGAGCTCCAAGCTTCAAACGCGGTCTCATGCTCAGACGAACGCTTCATTTTTCATCAAGTTGTTTTTCCCTGTTGTTTTGAAGCAGCTTTGAATAATCAACGTGTATTTCTGCTCTCCGTTTTCGAATGGTTTCTAACTTCATGGGACAACCAAAGCCAGAAAGCCTCATGTTTGGGGGGAAAGTGTGATGTCAGCAATGCCCAGAAAAGGTAAGCGACGTTGCTTCTCTTTTTCCCTCCTGCTTGGCCTTCGTCAAAAGTATTTACTAGGAGAACTTCAGCTACTTGTAAGGAAGTGAGATATTTGTAGAAAGTAGATCAACAGATGATAAATCGAAGGCTGGAAAACTCAGCGTCGGTGCTTTCTCCTACTTCCTAGTCTGCCTGGCGCGCAGACCTCTGAGAAGTATCTTTGGACTGTATGAAAAATGCCATTTCCTTCAGAAAATGTGTGCGGGTCTTCAAAGTCTCTATTCTGATGCACTTGGAGTTTGCTAGTGTGGTGATGAAGACATTGCTAAGGTCAGAGTACCTCCGTTTTCTTATTCTGTTACACGCGAGTCAACTTCCGGGGCTATGATCTTTCTATTAACTCAGAAATCTTTCCCATGGAAGTTTTTAATAACATTCCAAAAATTCTCTTAAATATGGTTACTATGACTTTTTATAAACTTGTTTTGCAGAATGTGTTTTGAGAACTTAAATAAATCATTTGATTCTTGCTTTGTGACCGCATGAGGGGAGGTTGTAGATATTACGTTGGGGGGTGGGGGGAGTTCAGCTCCAAGTTTGTTCATTCGAGTCTCAGGTGACCCGCAGTGCTATGATCTGATGGGGGTGACTTTGCCTTCTTGATTGTGCCTCAGAAACAGGTAGAGGGCAGGGAGGCTGGAACAGTCGTTGTTTTCCCATGAGTTGGCCATATAAGAAGTTCCCTGTGGTTTTAGGAGGCAAGGCATGTCAATGTGTGATGTGTTCTTCCAATTTCCCCAAAAACGTCTGTTATCAGTGTTCCCATCTCTTCGAGGCAGACTTCCAGGTGCACAAACACTGGATATTTGCGGAGGTCTGCAGATTCCTGCAGCAGGCTGCGATTTAGCAGAGCCCCAAGTTACGCCTCCGTGCACACAGATGTACTCCCGAGGAGGACTGGAAAAGCCCTGTGGGTTGGACGGGGCTTTCGGGTGGTTTGGGGCATCTAAGCAACCTCAGTCTGCAAACCGCCTGATCCAGAAACACTAGCAAACACTCCCGTGAGGCCTGGGTGAGAATATGGGGTGCTCCCTGGGGGCACTGTGCTTGGGTTGAGAAGCACTCTACCTGTCTTTGCTGTACCAACCGTTGCTCCTGTCTGGGATACTTTTTCTTCTGTGTTAAATTCTGGTTACAGAAGGTGGATCAGAGTGGCTTTCCCTGCTTTTTGTGGTCTCGGTGAAAAGAAAGAGATTAGGGCAGAGGATGGGCATTATTGTAGTGAAGCCAGAGGGCAGCTCTGTCTCTACCAGCTCATTGCAAGGTGGTCAAGAGAAGCTGCTAGTTGCTTTGTCTGTCCACAGCTGTTAAAGAGGAAGCAGGAACCCTGCCTCCCACTTCCTTGTCCTTCTCCCGTATCTTCTTGTCTCCTCTCTCCCTACTTCTACCCACCCCCGCGGGACGGCATCAAGAGAGGCAGGAGTGGGTTGGACGTGCGAGAGTATCACCATCTCTTCCTTCTCGTCCTCTCGGCCATTCTCGGGCCAGCCGGGGAAGCCCCCACCCTATTTGGAGGGGGTCTCCAGGACCCCGCCCATGACCTCATCGCAGGCAGCTGGAGAGCCGGGGTGGCCAGCGGTTATGTGGCGCCTGAGAGCGCCCTGGGGATGGGTGCGGCCGGCAAAGCGCAGTGTGGCATGACGTGACTGCGGGGGAGTGCAGCGAGGACTTTCCATTACGGTTCCCACGGAGGCTGGCGGCCTCTCTGGAGCCAGACCCGCCAGGCCCCGCCTCTGGGCCCTGAGGAGGCCCCAGTGAGGACAAAAACAAGAGGCAATTAGAGTTGCTAATGAAGCCCAAGCCAGCTGACTCATCTGAGGCGCAGCCACTGGGGGGCTTGCTAATGAAACCTGGACAGCGCCCTGGAAAGGACAGGTCAGGGTTGTCCCAGAAAGGACGATGATGAGAGGCCCAATGTGACCTAATCATGTCTGTTCACCTCCGAGAGGATGGAGGGAGGGGAGCGTTAACTAATGAACTGCTGGGGAGTGTGGGAGCCACGCGATCTGAACTGGGAAAGGATTTGAACTTAAACCAAACTGAGACCAGGTTGCCAGCGACCGCCACACATCCCAAGGCTGTGGACCAGCACCCGAAAACGCCAGGCGCAGGAATCAAACCCTAGAGGAACTCGGAAAGAGATACCCTTCCCTGAGCGTCCACTCTGTGCCAGAAACTTTACCAGGGCTCTCTGAGCATGGCCCTTGCAGAGAGACTGACCGTGCTCAACCGTGCAGAAAGCTCATGGAGAACAGTGTAGACAGGGGCTTTGCAGAGCAGCCTGACGTATCAAAGAAAGCATCTCATAGAGTTGCATTGGAACTAGACCTTGGAGGAGGATTAAAATATCATGAGAGAAGCAAGACGGACAACAGAGTCTAGGCAGAGGCCAATGAGCAAAGGCATAGAGGTGGAAAGACCATGGCTGTTTCCACGAAGCAAGTAAATGGGGGTCGCAAGGCTCTGTTCCCGAAGGGCATCCCAGGGCACACCAGTTTCATGGGTCATTAATGAGGTAATCATAACTCAGGTTCTGGGGTCAAAAACACCTGACTACAAATACAGTTCTGCCCCATAACTTCCCTGCACACCCAGACCCATTCAAGCATCCATTTCTTCATCTGTTAAATGAGGATAATAATTTTATCTACTCTTATATGGGCATTTTGAGGATTAAATTAGGAATTCATACAAAGGATCTGCTATGAGGGTATCTGGCATAGAAGAGCTCAATAAATGTGAGTTCTTATTAGGACTTCTCACACGGTTTAACTTTTTATATTATTTTTTTAATACTACATTTGCATTTATTTTCTACTAATAAAAACATTAATTTATAGCATTGTATCGACCACTTATTTTGAGTCAAGCACTATTCTATGTGCTTTATTTGAATAGTTTTATTTAAGATTCACAACCTATTGGAGATATTAGTGGGATTCTACTGTAATCTTTACTTTGTACTTTGAGAAAACTGTGGCCCAGAAAGGTTAAGTAATTTGCTCAAATTTATCTCAGTAACTTCATACTGGGCACCAATATTCAAAACTTTGATCATCACACATGCTAGAAAGTTATCTGTTTTCCCATATTTTTGTTTCTTACTGTGTCCTCGGTCTCTTCATGAGTGGGTCATTAGAATCTAGAGCTTCCCAAACTCATTAGAACATGAAACAAATTTTTCCCAAGAAGCATCACACAAAGCATGGAACGTGGAAAACGGCGAGGTTGAGTTCAGGCTACATGAACATCAAGCTCGTGACGTTTCCCAAGATTTAATTAAAATGTATTCATGTGCACCAGCCACTTCACGAACTGACTTCCTATATTTCTGTGAAGCAGAAACCCAACAACGGGACTCTCATATCTAAGGAAATTCACTCTGTCTGTGGTTTGGGGGCCAGCTGTACAGAGGGTCCTGCAAAGGACACCAGCTAGAATAAAACATGATCCCACCTTTAAGGAGTTATCATTCGAATGGGGAAAATAAAACTTGTGTTCCAGCATGTAAAATGCAACATTAGACTTACAGGAAAGAATATAAGAGAGGCTGAAAGTGAATGAGAATTCAGAGAAAAGAGACCAGGTCCTTGAAAAATCAAAGTATGTGTAACATTCTTTGGCATTTACCACGTACAAGGCACTGTGCTAACCACTTTACAATATGACTAGCCCATGTGTACCTTATAAGGCTTCATGGTGGATGTTAACTTACCCATTTCACAGATGAGAAAACTGAGCCCTAGAGAAATTCAGTAACCACCTGAAATCTTCTAAGAAGAAAGTGGCAGAGTATGATCTCAAACTCAGGTCCATGTGATGCTCAGAGAAGACTCCTCAGAGGAGGTAACTGGCCTTGAAGGATGGATAGGGATTGGTGGTAGGGGCACTCCAGGCAGCGAGGAGAATATTAGGAAAACCATGAAAGAGTCCAGGGGGGGAGGAGCAGGAAAGCATCCCTGGCAGAACAAAGTGCAGGCATAGAGAGCAAAGGGAAGTGGGCTCATAAGACTTGGTTGGGGAAAATAAATAAATAAGAAGACTTGGTTGGAATCAGATCACAAGAAAGCCTTGAATGTCAAACCGCAACGTTTGGATTTTTCAAATGGAGTAATCATTAAAAGTTTGTAAACAAGAAAGTTACTCCCTGGCATTTCATTAGGACAGTGGTTTAAGATGATTAATCAGTGTACAGGAGGGACAGAGACCAAACCTCCAGTTGGGAAGCAACATTTGTCCAGGCAAGAGATTACAGCGACCTTTGTACACACGGCAGTGAAGGGGTGGAGATGAACATTGGGCCCAGTCTCCTAAATCTGCTACACCATGGCCTTCACCATCATCAAGGTCTTTCGAATAACAGCCTGGAGGCCTCGATAAATGCAATTAGACCCTGTGAAATAGGAAGAGTTGAGGAAGGGAAGGGACAGGAGGGGCTGGCTGACCTCTGGGGGCCTTCTCAGCTCTCAGACTCCATGAAGATAAACCTCTGAGCACTTTTATGGAAATCATTAACTCTCCAGTTCCTTCCTCCATCACCAGTCTCTGGACTTCTCCTGCATATCGAGCGGGCATATTTCCAAAAGAACACTAAGGCCTAGCAAATTTTATGAGTTTACAGTTATGTCAACTGCATAATGTGGTATCGGCATGCAACGATTGGGAGGGTATATTTTAATATATCCCTTCAGGAGAAATTCTTATCCATCATCCTGGCTGCCTGCCTCTTGTGACTGAGAAGTCTTCCTGCAGTTCATACCACGTCAGGATCCAGCCATGCTCTGAGTGATAGTTATTCACTGGGTGTCATGTGACCTCCTCCAGCTCCCAAATAGGTGGTAAGCTTCTAAAGAGTATAAATTAATTCATCTTTAGATTTTCCAGTGCCTCACAACTATAGCAGGTGTCAGTCGATCTAAAAACACAGATCTGCAAGAAATGTCACATTTCTTTATTGT